CCATGGACTTCTGTAAGAGAGATGAAAGGGTCACAGTTCTTAATTTTTGACAATGACTTTGCAAAAATTGCTCTTTTCTTGTGCATTTTCTCCATCGCTTTTATTCTTCATATGACAGGTACAGAAGAAAAAGCTGTTTGTGACCATGTTACACATTAAAAAAGCAGTAGCAGGCAGAAGCTCCATCTATGGTGGAGCTAGTTTTCAGTTTATTTCCATGGGGTGGCTTTTGATGTCAGAATCACAGGGTAGGTTGGAAGAGGCCTCCTGAGGCCACCTGGCCTCCCTCTTGCTCAGCACGAGTCCAGCTCCCCTGGGCTTCTCAGCACCAGTGAGCCCCTTAGCAGTGTCATCCACAGCACCATGACAGCAATTTCGGAAGGGTCTAAATGAGCACTGAGGAGCAAAATCATTGGTATTCTCCTTGATGGGATTTAATCTTAATGCAGCTCATTAGTCTTCAAGGGTGGAAATCTTGAACCTGATGGTGCCAAAGGATTAACCTAAATTTAAATTCCGTAGGTACAGCCTCAAAAAATGGGAGGTGAAGGTCACAGAGTGAAGGAAGCCCATGAATACAGCCCTGTCTGCAGCACTCCTGTGAGCAGAGGTCGAGCCCCAGGTGTCCCCAGGGCAAAGCTGGCAAAGGGCTGAGGCTTTGAGCCCCGCTGGTGCTGATGTTCCTGAGCACCGGGAGGGATCTGCTCCAGGCAAAGTAGAGTCCTCATCTCATCCTTAAGGAGAAACTGCCAAAGCAGCCAGAATCGAGCACGAGCTGAGGTTGGTGCTGATTTTATTTTTCACCTGTTTGTATTGCTGCTACCTGGCAAACTGAGATCGGTGGGTAAAGCTGGATCCTGCAGCACAGACACCCTGCTGGGGCAGGCTGGGACCACTCCCTGCCCATGGCTCGGCGAGCTGAGGGGCCAGTGGGTGGGAGAACATCCCACCTGCACATCCAGGCACTGTCCCACCTGCACATCCAGGCACTGTCTCCTGCAGGCTCCACTCCCAGGCTGGAGATGCCAGAATTTGTCCCAAGCCTGGCCAGTGCCTGAAGGGCGTGGTGGCCATGGCCAGCCTCTCACCCCGCAGGCACAAAACACCAGGGTGTGGCACCATTTCATCTTTTGTCTTTCATCTCCTAAAGCTGTTCCACAATGCCCAAGCAGGCTGGCATGTTTTCAGCACTGAAAATCAGATGGTGCCAACTTTCCAGTGGTTGTGCTTGGTGCTTTATGCTGTTAGTTTAGCAGAAGTATGCACGTTATGCCTCTTGCAAAAACAGATAGGATTTATTCCCTGAACAAGGTTCAGATCTGTTTTCAGCCATCTTCGTCTCTGTAGCAGTGTCTGTCTAGGTCAGAAATGTTGCTGTCAGTTTCCCATGAGCACAGGTTCAGTAGCATCCTCCATTGCAAGATCAGTCCTCTCCCAGCCACTTGCTTACCTGGCCACTAAGCAGTGCTTGATTTGTGCCTGCAAAAGTACTCGCCTGAATATTTGTGCTAGTAAAATGAGTTATTTTTTTCCATCTGTATTTTTAGACATTAAACCCAGAGTTTAGTCATCAGCTCTGTGCTTCCTATCTATGTGCAAGTACTGCAGAGGAGATAAATATAGATACAGATATATAAATATGCATATGTGTAGATGTATGCATATATGATATACACACATAAGTGTATATATTTGTATATATACATAACACACACAAATGTATGTATAGATATAATATACAGGCTCAAAAACAACGCATTCATGCTATGCAAAAGACCTGTCCTGGAAAAGGAAATCTAGTACCTGGGGATATGGGCTTTCCCCAGACAAAATGAAGTTTAGAGGAGGAAGGAGGCCCTTGCCTTTGTGTGCCCTGGAGGGGTATGATCCTCCTGCACCAGACCATCTTTGGGGCATCAGCAGAGAGCAAGGCAGGCTCATACAGTGGCCAAAAGGCTTCTGGCAGAGTCTCTGAGATGTTCAAAGAAATGGTGCCAAGCCACATGGGCCAAGACTTGCCAATGGCTGCAGGAGCTGCTGCCTAAGTTGCCTCAAGTTTTACGAGGGAAGATCATGGTCTTACACCCATGATGAGTGCCCAGCTTCAAACCAGGAAAAATAAGCAAAATTCTTCCAGAAGTTTTATTAGCATTTTCTCTCATAGTTACTGGAAAAATAAAGTGATACATTAGTCATCTCAGAAATACAGCAGAGCAGCATAAGGGCAAGGGGTGGGTTTTTAGTCATGGTAGTTTTTGTAACTGAAATACAGTCTTCTTAAATAATTTTAAGTACAAATCTGAGCAGGGAGAGAGCTTGCTACATCATTTTATGCTGCCTTTTTACCTTATTTTAGAAGCCCAGATAGCAGTGACAGCTCCCTCTGTAAGAGCAACCAGATTGTTCTGCTGTGAACTGGGGAACAAGCACTGGCAGTGTGAGAATCTTGGGCTGCTGACAGACTGGCAATGCCCTGCACAAGGTGAGCCTCCTTTCGTGTCTCTGTGGGTGTGGAGAAGTTTGTACACATATATGTGCATGAACACACATGTAGACATATGTATGTATGTCTGTATACTTACACATGTGTGTATACACAGATTCTACTCATGATTCTGCATATATACATATATTCATCCACATAGACAGGTTGTATATGTCAATATATGGACATGGATGTGCATAGAGACATTATACATCTATATGTACATATATAACATACCTATACTTCGTTACATGTAATACACTTCTATATTGTATATATACACACATATCCAATATTTTATATATATGTAAAATATAACTTTTGTTGTTGAGATCATACTGTCCCGAAGGAAATGCAAAGGCTGGCACTGGTTTGCAGCCCTCTCTGCAGTTTTAATCCTGTCCTTCAGCTCCACCATGCTTGCTGAAGGGCTGCAGTACCTCACTGTGTGCCACAGTGGGTGGGAGCTGGCAGAGCCCTTGGTTCAAGCACTAAACATTTAGACCAAGGTACAGCTGTTTGGTTTGGTCTGTTTGTATAATTTTTATCTGTAGATGACATAAGGGGCCATAAGCACTTGTACTACACATAAGTATTGATTTCCAAGGGGAAGTGGCTGATGAATCACTCAGGTCCAGCTATAAAAGATGCCCAAGTGCTGCTTGACCCAGCAGTCTCCTTGGGCCTGCAGGGAGTGACTCCCCAGCAATCGTGAGGGCAGTGGAGACAAAGATGAATGGCTCATTTCCCCTGTAATGCACCACAGAAACACGCTTTTATGAAAAATAGAGCACAGACAAGATGGAAAGGGCGACAGTCATTTTCGAAGGTAGCACATACCATTTCTTTGTGGCAATTTTGCCCCTGTGACTGACAAAAGCAGGACAGATCAAGTGTCTTCCATCAGACCTGGATTAAAAATGAAGTTATGTTGCTTGGAGAACTGACAGTCCCACCAGAAATGATAGATGCTGCTGACAGTTCTGGCTTTGCAATAAAAAGCCTCTTCCCACATTGTCGAAAGAGCTTCTCTGGTATGGGCATAAATAAGGCATTATTTGAATGGAAATGTTAACAGCAAGGAGCTGTAAATCATATAGGTCTGTTACAGTAACAGACTGTAGCTGAAAAGCATGTTCTTGTTTCTCATATATATGGAAATGTATGTGTGTATAAACAAGACATGCACATCTATTAATATCTCTATATATTTATATATGATTCTGTGCATGTTCTGTACACATAATGGTAGCTAAAATTACTTAGCAAACAGTCCTTCCCCTAAGAGCAAATGTTTGGTGTGATGCACTGAGGGCTGTTGTGTAAGATTTGACTGAGTATCTTTACCATACATAAAGGTTGTAACGTAGCAACCATTTTTTTCTGCTCAGAAAACACTGTTTCCAAGCTAATTATTACTGCCCTTATCAGTGGCCACTGGCTTGGCTCCTGATGCACTGCTGGGCTGGGCAAGAGGCTCAGCGGCTTCAAGCAGCCACAAGCAGGATGAAGGTGGCCATGGAGAAGAGGCATGGCACGAGGGCTCGTCCTGTGGGTGCACACTCATGGCGAGAGAGATATTTGGCTTAGGAGCCTCAAGTGAGACAGGGGGCTGCCCCTGGCTGCTCAGTGGGACTGTGGCCACTGCTTGGGAAGAGCCCACAGCCGAGGCCATGCTGCCAACCTGCTGGAGGCAGTCAGGTCTTTCACTATGTCATACGTGTATATATAAAGGTATACATCCATGTATACATACCTCTATATGCATGCAAACATATGTGTGTTATATAAATATATGCACACACACACACACACACAGAGACATCCTTTCATGGACATTGGGGTGAAGGAAAATTCCATCTCTTGACATTCATAACAACTTTCAAAGGACCAAAGCACTGACCCTAGGGGACAGTGTCTGCAGTGCCCAGCTGCCGAGTCTGGATGATCTGCTCTGCCATGGCCCTGCAGCTGGAACCAGGGCTGGCACTGCTTCTCTGCTGGAGCCAGGGCTGTCCCCACTGCCCCACCTGGGAGCACCACAGCGATGTCCAGCAATTGGTCCTGTGAGTGAACCCCCGAGCAGGGACAAGGGAGGAGACTACCCTTGACAAATTCCATCCCAAGTGCATTTCTCCCAGCAGGCTCTGGCCCTGGAGGGGCACTGCCAGGCTGGCTGGGCACAGGACAGGGATTGCTCCGTGGTGCAGAGGCCAGTGCAGTCCTGGCTGTGGCATGCTGGCACCAAACTGGGCACTGCCAGCACCCGGCACTGTCCCCAGCCATGGGCTCACAGCTGATGGAAGCGTTGGGTGCAATGCCAACTTGGGGTTATATAAATGTAAAAGCATTTTATATAAGCCTATTTTATCTGCAAATCATTTCTATTTAGAACACCTATTTCTACTGGAAACACTAAAACCATATTACATAAGAGCTTGTTTAAATCCTTTGGCTTAAGGCTTGGGCAGGGGGAGGGGTTGGTTCAGGCATGGTGCATTCAGGCTGCAGTTTATAATCACAGCCTCAACCAGCGGCCAAAACCCCGTCTTAAAATCCTTTCTGCTTTCATTCCACGCTGCCCTGACAATAGCAGAATACTTCCCTGAAGGGTAATTTTCCTTTTTCTCAGTGCTGCCTTGATGTTTGGAAACTTTCATTTATAGTGCTCTGGATGTGCTGCCAGCACAGGAGAGAGGCAGCTAGCAGTGCCCGTCAGTGTCCCCGTGCCCAGGCTGTGACAGTGGGTGGGAACGCTGCTGACATCACCTGAGAGGCTGCCGAGACATTCTCAGAAGTTAAAAAACGCATTAACTGGAAATGACCATTTAGCACCATAAAATTGCTTATGTCGTCATTGATGCAATTATGTTTTCTAATGAATGAATTATTCCCTGACCCCTCTCATGAGGGGGAGGCAGGAATGGCAGTGGTGATGGCCATCAAATCCATGTCCAATGCATGAGGGCAGCTGGACCTTTTGGACGCTCACACTGCCCTGCTGCCACCCTGAAAAACCTGTGTTCCCACCATGTGCCAGAACAAGCTGCTCCTACAAGGCTGGGTAAGCTGCACATCCCCACCCTGCTGCTGGGCCATGGTGCACATGAGGGCTGTGTTACAGCCTCCCCACGGCAGCACAGCACAGCTCTGGGGACAGCAGCCCCTGCTCATGCAGCCAGAGGTGCTGTGGTGGCCACCACAGCGCTGCTGGGGCAAACAAGTCCTTACACAGCATTTGGATGATACTCTCACCTTGCTTTCTAGTGTGAGTGACTCCGAAAATGGAGAAGTGGAGATGCCACTCACAGTGGTGATGCCATCTGTCAGAACTCTCTGTTGGCCCGAGCCACCAATGCTGTCCTGGTGAACAGCATGGCTTCAGCAACAGCAGGTACAACTGATCTTCCCTCCTTTACAGTCAGTCTAGACCAACCCTTCTGTCTTCCCCAGTCCCCTTTTGAAAGTAAGGTCAGGAATCACTCCTCCTCACTTGCCTTCTAAGGCAGCATGGCCAGGGCACGGTCTCCAGGCTGAATGTACCCTGTTCAGGTGGGATGTGCTACCTCTGCAAACACAATGCTCTCCCAAACGAACAGGGCTGGGTTCCCCACTGCTCTCTCATCTGGAGTTACCTTTAACCACCATCACTGCTCCAATTCTCCCTGTAAGTGCTCCACATTCAGGTGACATGGTTCATTAGTTTCTATAAGTGCCCAGGACACTACAGAGATTTCAGGGACAAAGTAAGAGCTGTAAATTATTTTCCTCCTTACCTTAATTTTCCAACTCCCTTAAGGTGACTCAAACTCCAGCAGAGGAGGAGCCTGGTTTGTCCCAGCCCAGTCAGCACCCTGTTTTTGCAGGATGAGGTCTAACTGCTCCATCTTCCATTTTCCCTGCTGTGTAGTGGAGAACACAACACACAAATTTCTTAGTGGTGCGGGAAGAAGGCAATTAACATCTGTGCATGCTGCAAAGCCTCTTGAGACTTGCTTTCCTTCTGCAGGAATTGAAGGTATCTTCAACTGTTGGAAAGCCATGTCATTCCCAAATTTCTGTGAGCTCAGCTGTGTGGGTGATGAGGCTGGGGTGCTATGTGGCAGTGAGATGGAAACAGAGTGTCCTGGTGCCCAGAGGTGACATTCCTTGCTGGGAATTACCCCAGGACATGAGCAGTAGCATCTCCAACTTGGTTTTTAAAGCAGCTTTGTGAGGATTTTAAGGAGAATAAGTTGGCCTGCTCCTGACCTGCTGCCACTGGTCTCAGTGGCAGAGAGCAGGGTGCCAGTGCTGGGGGATGGAGCCTTCCTGAGCCCCCAGGGCTGCTCAGCCCCACCATCCCAGGGCCCTGCCTGCTCACCCAGCTCCTCACACATCGCCACTCAAATCGCTTAAGCAAATTCTTCTCATACTTCACTTGAGCCAGACACTGTAAATTGGATTGAAGTGGTGCCTGGAGAGATTTCTCGTGTCAAATATGTAAAACTAACATGAATTTGAACTCTTTCTGGGCTGCCACAAGGGTGTTGCTCCCCACACTCCTCTCCTGGCATGCAGGGAGCTCCCCTGATTTGGTTCCTTGAATTTGAAGCCAGATCTCTTGTGACACTGCCCACAGACACCAAAATTGATGTCAAAACCTGCAACAGTGGAGCTCATCTTGAAAATACATCTCTTTATTTAGTCTTGGACAAAAATTGTGCAGGGGCTGATTGTTAAAGGAGCTGGGCATCCTACTACTCCAGAAAATGACCTGAGTTCCAGGGGAGTCAGGCCACTGACTCCAGTCAATTATTTCACTTTGAGCACTCCATCCTCCTATAATTTATTACTCATCATAAAAGTCAAATGATGTAGTAAACATCTGGGACATTCATGGATGAGCATGACTTTGACTATTTCAAGGACCTGGAGAACAAATCTGTCTCATCTTTTGAGCGTGGAAGAAGAGCAACCGAGGTTATAGGATACACTGGTTACACTCAGGACCCAAATTATCTGGGACACTCAATGAGAAAAGCAAGTTGCAGATACACCCGGGAAAGCCCCGTTCCCCTGCTGCAGGACCTGTGTGGAGCTGGGCAGAGCCTGCCCTTCACTGAGCTTTCCTTCCAAGCCCCACAGCCATGCCTGGCCAGCTGGGATGCCTAACTGGGGAAAGACATGACGTCTAGGAAGAACTGGCTGATTAAAACTGGGGACATGGTCCTCATCCAAGGGCTGTTCTGCACCCATCTGCTTCTGCACTGCATTGACAAACACTGGCAACTTGCAATGTATGCAATAGATTCAATTTAGCCTTGGAAAGTAAATAAGTGGATAGCAGTTTGGACTCATGGAAAATAGCAATTTTCATTTTACCTAAAGAACAACCCAGTTTGATTTAGCCTCAGAGATTTTAGTATGCATTTTCTAATGGCTCAGTGATCTCATAAATTGTGGGGCACTGAGTTCACACTTGCTTCTGAGCATGGTCCACACGTGCTGAAGCCCGGGACCTGCAATGTGGAGCCCTCTCATGAGCCCACCACACTGTCCAGGCTGAAACCAGGGTCTGGCACTGCAGCTGCCCTGCTCCCAGAGCAGCAGAAACACCTCACTGCTGGGTGTGCAAGGCACTCAAGAAACTTGTTGGGCACTGGCCAGCAGCCCCTCACCAGCCTCTGGCAGGTCACAGACTGGCCCTGGGGACGGGAACCAGCTCCCTCAGCCACCCCAGGGCTTGCCATCCCTGCCATAAATCCACAGCACTGACTGCTGCTGTCAGTGCTGGAAGGAAGAGGCAGTTTAGTGAGAGACAAACACTGTTTGGTTTTTATTTGGTCGTAGCTGGAAGGACGCCATGGATGGCAGCTCGGAGAGAAGGCTGTGATCAGCTGGGAGATATCCAGCTCCCTGCTGGCAGCCGGGCTCTGGAACAGCTCCATCCTGCTGCCTGGCAGCTCCTAAATAAATGTGATGCCAGGCTGATGTGCTGGAGGAAATGGTTTATGACCTTCATCCAACAAAAAAGAATTCAGGCAGGTGTTGAGAGAAGGCGAGTGAACACATTGGTGGAAATAGCCGTAATCAGTCATGATTTGGGGAACACAAGATTCCAGTCTGCTGCCAGCAGAGCTGTGCTGCCTCTGCCTCAAGGCTTTGGTGTGGGCCTGCATGTGAGAACTGGGTGTTTTGCCCCAAACAGCCTGTGCCAGAGCCTCCCTGGCCCCAGCAGCCTTCTGCAGCCAGACAGCCTTTGAGCTCCACTCCGTTACCAACTTTCCAACATCCTGTTTTCACTGGGATTATTTTAATCTCCCGGTTTCCCATCATATTTTTCCTCCTGCCCATGCCAACATAGACTGCAGTTCCTGGCAGGCAGGATGGAAAGCTCCTCCCTGGGCTGCAGCAGCATTTTGGAGGATGAGCTGGACTCCGCCCTGTCACACCTGGCTCCTCTGCACTGCTGGTGCTGGTACCCAGTGCTGGCCACCACGGCCACCCAGCTGCTGACAGCACATCACTTTGAGTCCACTCAGTCAATCACTCAAGCAGCTCTGTGCTTTCATACTTTTCTCTGTCTTGGCTGAAGAACCAAAACACCTGCTCCACTGCTGATGTCTTTATGGCTTTATCAGGGCAGAAGAGATGCTGCAAGGTCCTGATTAACTGAGCCATGCAGCAGTGGGCAGCCAGCCTCTTCCATGTTCCAGCTGCAAACCTTGAGCCTCTCCATGGCTGCCCAGCTTGCCAGAGCTCCTCTTAGGCTTCCAGGGTTTGCTTTTCTCCTGGATTTGCTCTGGATGATGAAGCTCCTTGCCCTGTGCAGGTCCCTAAGCCAGTCACAAGATTTTTACCTTGCCTTGCTGGAAGTGGATGCTGTACTCTGTGTGATGCAGTTACAAAGCCAATAGAAATAACAGGTACAAATGCCAGCAATCCCAAAGGACATTCCTGTCCACTCCACAGTCCAACAGACTGGCACCTTGCTGCTTCACAGGGCTAGGCATGATGGAAAACTGAGAGACTCAAACACCTGAGGGTCTCTCTGTATAAAAGCAAGTAAAAAGAAAATAAAGAACCATGGAAAACCAGTGAAATATCATGTGTAAGAGTCCAAAAGATAATTTAGTATCTAGAAGTAATTTAATCTTTCAATATGTGTCAACATCAAATATGCTAAGAATCCAACAATAGCAGAAAATATCTGAGACAAATATGACACAAAACAAAACCCAAACCCATCTGCTTTCTTAATCATAGGCTTTAACAACATTTCTTCTAGTTACCCAGCTATTTCAAGGGTTGTACTGTCTAAATCTATACCCAAACAAACACAGAAGTCACAATAAATCTGTCATTCAGTTATTCAATCTATGGTTTAAATCCCTCTAAATGATAAAATTCAAGACAGACATTAAATGGAAACATTGTTTCTCTACAGCTTCTAGAACTGAAGATTTAAACTCTAATCCAGTCTGAACGGCATCACCAAGAACGAGGATGAGAAAATGTCCTCCCACTGCCTGAGTCTGGCTTTGGAGCATCCATTGCTGAAGCCCGAGCTGCAAATGGAAAGATCAACAATCTTGTAAAGCAGAAATTCTACCCTGGCTACACTTGCTTTTTGGGAAGATGCTGTGGAGATGATTACACAGAAAAATGATGAGGTTTATACTTACCTTGTGGGATTAGTGTGGCAATGACGCTTCCACACTACACAGCACCAGAACTCTGGGATATGGCTTGAGGAAAATGGCAAAATTCAGATAGAAAGAAAAGCCTGTATTTTATTAGGCCTCACATCTATTCTGAGAGTGGCCAGTGATCTTTGACCAGGCAGGCAAGGGATCACCCACTTGCCTTGGACTGTGTTCAACTATGAATGGTTACTAGAAAAATAAAATAAGCCTAAACAAAAAATATATAAAATATAAATATAAAATATAATACAAAGTAATATATAATATATATAATATAATATATATCAGTATATATTAATATAATATATAAAAATATAAAAAAAATATAAAAATATATATTATATATAAAATATATATAAATATTATATATATTATATATAAAGTGTAATATATAAAAATATAAAGTGTAAGCTAAGACACAAGTAATGCAGAGTGATACCAAATTAGGACAAAATAAATCAGCCTTCTACCAATGTTAAAACTGAAGAAAACCCATCAAATCATCAGCCACCAATTCAGTAACAACTCTGCTCTAGAAGCACAGATTGGATGTAAGCACAGATTAACCCAAGTCCCCAGGGACAGATGGAAAACCCCTTCCCTACTCCCTTTCCCTACAGCCATGCTCATGCTGAGGGAATCGCTCCCCAGTACCTTTGTGCTGGGAACGAGGGAGCCAAAGCTGGGACATGAAGGGCAATGGAATTGCTGGCTTTGATGCTGGACAAGTCACAAGTTCTCTGTCCCACCCCCAGCTGCCAAACGCACACATTGGTATTTCATGCCACACATAGCAATCCAGGCTGGGTGACATAAAGGTTAAAAGTAATTTTGGCTGCAGTAGCCCAGCACAGAGATTACAAAAGGTATTTTATTATCAGAGTTCTCTATAGAAGGGCTGCTTGGCAGTCAGGATGCAGCAGATTCCTGAGGAAAGCAAATGACACGTGTGGCTGCTGCCAGCTACTGACCCAGCTATTTGCAGAGTGTGGCCATAGCTGGCCATCACCACATCCCCAGGGGCTGCTGGGCACAGCTCCCTCTGCACATGGCCTGGTGCACACAAATCACCCCATCAACCATGCTGCTTCCCCGCCAAAAGCAGCCACTGAACTTTCAACAGTCAGTCTTTTAAGGAGTTCTCCAATAGCACTCAGCATAAGCAGATAACCATTTTAAATATAGACACTGGAATGGAAGCCCTGGTGCTGGGTGCCAGCAGCGATCTGGATTATTTGCTTGTTACTAAATACCTCCTGGCATTACTTCCCAGGTTGTTCAGCTCGAGCCTGACACAAACAGTGGCAGGACAGCAAACAAGAATTTACAGGATTTTTTAAGAACTGAAATAATTCAAGGAGTAAGGAACAAATTGGTTCAGGGCTGCTGTTGCTCAGGGCTGTATCTTTGGAAGAATGAAGACAGGTTCCTGTTTAAATACGTGTAAAACCCAGCTGAAGGCTTGACAAGTACTTCCAGATCTCAGCAGCAGGAAAGCAACATGAGTATAAATAAAGAAAAGAAGACTTGTGGGAGCAGATTTAGCTCAAGGATGCTTTTCCTCCTAATATCCAGCAATAATTGCACCACAGTGTGCCACTTAATTCCTTGGGAACCTGCCTACAGTTCTCTGGGGTTTGCAGTATACACGTGTAGAGTAGGGGATAAAAATCCACATGTGGAAAAACTCCTACATACCTGACTATCACAGAGGTTAGAAGGGGACAGAAAAAAAATAGCAACATTTAGTTCCATATGCAAAAAACCCTCTCTGGTTAATGCCTGTAAAAAAGGCATTAAAAACCTGTTCATAAACCAGTGCCTCCAGGCAATGAGCTGGACCCAAATGGGAACTTGGCAAGGCTTTAAAAGGGTGCAGCAGGCGTGGCTCTAAGAGCTTCTGCAGCACAGAAGAGGCAACAGCCTGGTGACAGGAAAACAAAGTACATCAAGGCACCGATTTTGCTGCAGGCAGTGAACCCTTTGCTGCAGGTACAGGTGCCCTGCTGAGCAGGACTGGAACGGGCAGGAGCAGCAGGGCCTGCCCCAGTGCCCAGCTGGTTCACAGATCCCCACATCCAGCCTAGAGCCCCAGCAGACCAGCTCTGCTCACAGCAGAGACCAGCTAAGCTGTGCTACTCACACTGCCATCACACCACTACCAGCAGCATGGGCAAAGGCTTACAAAAATAGCTAAGATTATATATAGCAACTCTGATTGAATTAAAATTAAATGCAACTCTGAGAAAGCTAACTGACCATGGCTGAGAACTCTTGACCAGAACAAACTGTTCAGCAATTATTAGATCTCATGTGATGACAGGATGTGTAAAAGGCTCTGTCCTGGTCTGTTGTAAACATCACCTCTTCCAGCTGAAGCTCTTGTTAAATATACTTTGAAATGCCACCTTTTAACCAAAAGCCACTTGGAGAAGAAAGGTTACTTTAAAAAGATAGTTAATGTTCTCATTTCTTATTTGCTTTTTTGTTACATAAGGGTGTTCCATTGTACTTGGCAAGCACCTTGGTGTGAAACACTGGTCCCTTTATCTGGTTCATAATTTAAGCCTCTTCCATATTTTGTTTTTAAAGACAATGCTGTTGCTAGGTCACAGCCAAAGAGCTACACATGTAACTGACCTATTTTTTCCTGCAGGGATAGGCAAGATTGATGAGTACCAGGCAGGAACCATCTTTCACCCCATGGGAACAACCTGTGACGCCCTGCATTTTCTGCAGGCTGTTCTTCCAACACTGGGAGAACCCAGCGCCACACCCAGAGTACCTTCACGTTCTAGAAATGAATTTCACTTTGCAGGGTCCTTACAAAACACTTTAGTCTCCATACAGGGAATTGTTTCTACTTAATAATCCCAGCTACACCCTACATTGTCCCATGGATGGAGCCTGTTGTGAGAGCAGGGTTTGCACCAAAGCAGGCAGCACAGCCTGTACAGTGTTGCCTCCTCAGCACAGGTAGAACACAAAGGTAATGAAGCACCATGCTGGGTTTAGGCTCAACACTCGACTCTCCCCTTCCTTTTAGTGTAAAATGTTCCCTTTGTACCCGTACAGGCTTCTTAAGTATTGCTAAGTTTCACATGCGTTCTTAAAAAAAAAAAAAAAAAAATTAAAGATATCTCACTTATACAAGATGTGTTTTTAAGCTGAATTTTGTTTCCTGTTCTTCCACACTTCCAGCCCACTGCTTTCCTCCAATCTCAACTTGAGAACAGTCCCTTGCCCTGAGAGGGGTGGTCACCCTCTCCCCAGCCCACACCCCGCTGCTGTGGCTATGCCCAAGGACACACTCCCTGTCCCCTCTCCAGGTGCCCATCCTGTGCTACACTGCAGGGGCAAATCCTTGTTTGAGGCCAGCTGCAGATGTGCTACCTGCCAGAGGAGCAGGGATGGAAGAATCTGGAGGAATTAAAACAGTCATAGGAAAAGTGGTAAGAGTTTATTGTACAGTTAATGAGCTCCCTCTGGAACAGCCGTGATGGGAGGAAATGGAAGAGAAATACACACTGTTCTAGGGCTTTCTGCAACACAGACCTGACCTGCACATTGTTAAACGTCCCACAGCAGTTACCTGGTCATGCTCCCAAAATCTCCTCATGGAAGAGCTGCAGCCAGGCTCTTGGCTGAGGAACCTGCACACTCACCTTCACTCCAGGCTGCCAGCAACGTGACGGTGCTTGCACACACACACAGCAGCTTTTCCTTTAACACTAATCTGTCCAAAAAAATTTGATAAAACAGTAACTTTGATCACTTACACTCTGAAGTCCATTTCTTTTAAACAGAAATGGTTACAGACTCTGCTGTGTATTTGTGCTTTCACAGCCACACCACTACATGGGATTTTCCTCAGTCCAGGACAGAAGGAAACTCTTGGGAGTCTCCTTCCAGGAGGCTGCAGCCCCAGCAGCTGCACTTCCAGGAAGTTTCTCGAGCACCCTGTGGAAGGCAGTGACCCTCACAACTGCCCCAGCTGCAGCACAGCAGCTGCTCCTCATTTGGCAGAATGTGTACAAAGCATCACAAACAGCCATTTTTGCTGGCCATGTTTTTATTTGTTTTAAGTTTTAAACAGGGGAGCCAATGATACATCCAGTATTTCAAAAAATCAGAAGGTAAAACAAATTTTTAAAAGACCGAGATGCTACATGCTATATTTAACCTAATTTTATTCATGCTTGCTTTTGAGGGGGGCAAGGAGTGGGACAGGAATCATTCAGTAAAAACATACAGTAAAAACAAAATGTCTCACCATATAGAACTTTAACCTACAGTAATGTTGTACCTTAATTATTTCCATGCACACAACTAACATTACAAAATTTTTAAAAAATGAACACAATTAAGACTTCTAGGAGCATTTGATAATAAAGCAATTCCTAATTTCTTTTGTAGAGATCAAGCACCTCCAATTACAAGTTCCTATACACAGTGAGTGCTTTACTTGAAATGGAAACTAAAAAATAAAATTAACAATGTATTGGATAGCCTCAGAATAAGCTGATGTTAATATATATCCAGCTATGTAGGCAATAAAACCATAGTGCTAAACAAAAAACTTTTATCTGAAAAGTAACTCAAAAATTGACTTTCTATAATTACAGAAATATACTTATTTGCTAAAATAAATAAAAGTGCTGCATATTAACACTTCACTATAAAGAATGCATACCAGAACATTTATAAATATTGAATGATTTTCAATAGGAATAGCTACTACAATAATGCTGGCTAAATAGAAGTGCATAATGAGAAGCACTATGGGTGGTTAATGTTTTGCCACATACTGCTGTTACCTTGAGGTAGATAACACATGCGTACCAAATTCTGCATTCATTTCAGTTGCTGCTGGTATCATGTGTCTAAGAAATGTGTAGAGTATGAAAAACTCTAAAATACGCATGAATGAAAAAAATGTTTTGGGAAAAATAGATATTCTCATGCAATTATGTACAGTCTCACTGTGTAAGTTTCAAGGCAAGGTTCTTTTTCTGCAAAACATGGACACTGTCTTACTGAGAGAATGTTTTTTTACTTGGTTTAGTGCATTTTTTTGTTACCTCCTGCATTTTGCATTATTTTGCTCTATTCTTTAATTTTGTGTGCAAACGACATGCCAGTTTAAAAACAAAACTAACTCATGTATAGAAAGTAATTCTGGATTGTAAAAACAATGGTAAACAGAAAACTAA